GGCCGGCCGCCGGCCACCCCTGCCCTGTCCTGGAGCTGCCTCCCCCCTGGCCCCTGGGCTGTGGGCCGGAGGATGTGCCCGCCTTCTGCTTCATCTGCTTCCACAGGGAGGAGGAGGAGGAGCTGCTGGAAGAGGTCCCACTGCAGAGGTCAGTGCCCCTGGTGGGCAGTGGGTGGGCAGGACTGGCGCACAGGGCCCCGACTTGGGGCCCCTGGGGCCTGGCAGGCCTGTGTCCGAGTCTCTCGGTCCACTGCTTACCATCCGTCGCCACTTCCCTGCACCAGACTCTCAGATCCCCCACCTGTCCCTCCTCTGTCTCCCTGTCCTGGACCCACAGGGACCCTCTGTCCTCTCCCATGTGGTCATGGCCTCCTGCTCAGAGCCCTCCCTGGCTCCCAGCTCCCACAGGATGAAATGGACACTCAGTCGGGCGTTCGGAGGCTGTGTGATCTAACTGACCCCACCCACCCCATCTCTCTCTGCTCCCTACACTCACCCTCAGGGAATCCCTGCCCAGACTTCTCTTCCCCAGCCCATCCCGGCCCAGCTGCAACGCTTCCTCCTCCGGGAAGTCCTTCAGGAGCGCCCGGCTCCACCCGGAGCCAAGAGTCACCTTTACTCCCTGCACTGAACCGACCGTTGAATCTTTGTTAAATTAATTAATGAGTGGAAATATCTGTGTGTGTATATGCGTGTGTGTGAGGGGGGGTCAGGGGGAGTGAAGGGTTGTGTGACTGGGTATTTGGGGGTGAGTGTGTGATTGTGAGTGTACGTACCTGTTTGTGGGAGCACGTGTGGCTTCTATGTAGCCATGAGGAATAGGGTCTGTGCACTGTGCCGAGGTCGGGGTCCATGCCCTAGGGACCATTGTCCCTATTGCCAGCTCTCCCCACCCCCATCTGCAGGGAATGCATTAGCCAACCTGTGACCTCAGGCTCCCAGGATGGACAGCAAATCTAAAGGGAAGACAGAGGTCACCTCTGCTGTGACCCAGCCCGCCCACACTTCCGTCACCGCCTAAGTCAGCACTGCCCTGGGTGGGGAGAAGGGCAGGCTCAGGGCCAACCCAGGTGCCCCTCCGGCCCTTTGCAGGAGAGCTGGGGCTCGGGTTGGGCGCCTGCTGCCTGGGCCGCTTCCTCCCTGAATCTCTCTGTTAGACCCCTGGTCTGTAAGTTTCCCTCTGTGGGCCTTTGTCTCCTCATCTGCGAAATGAGGGGATGCTCCTGCCACGGTCACCAGTGACTGAGCACCCACAGAGGCCAGGGCGTGCCGTGGGGCTGGAGCCCAGCCCTCCCGGGGTCACAGCCCTCCCGGGGTCACAGCCTGCTGGGCGAGACAGACAAGCAAACAGGTCAGTGTGACCGAGCGCTGGGCGCCTGGATAGGCGTGGGTGCGCTGTGCGCAGGGTCAGGGAAGACTGGCCACCCCAGGAGCCCTGCTGCTCTGTCTTACAGTCCAGACCAAGTTAGGAGACTCCGAAAGCCAGATCATAGGTGCGGAAGTGCTTCTCAAACTCCAAAGCAGTGAACCCCTAAAGCATCGCTATATTTATTGTAGGAGTTCAAAATGCTTGTTGAATGAATGAATGAATGAATGAATATGACACGGGGAGACAGGACATCAGAATCATCTGAGTTGATTGTTAAAAAATACACGCTGTCCTGGCGACTTTGCAGCCTCAGGTCTTGGAGGAGATGGGTGTGTGATTTTAATCAGCCCCCCAGGTGAGCAGCTTGAGGGAACCAGCATTTGGGAAACCCAAGAAGGAGAGGCAGCCAAGAGTTCCTGCCCTCCTGCCTCATCCCCCCGCCCCCATCTCCCACCTCCAACTTTGGGGACCCCCTTAGAGGGGAAGACCCCTCTGCCTCCTGCACTGGCAGCATGGTGGCCTATGTTTGCAGCTACTATCCAGCTGGTAGATGCTAGCCCTTTAAGTCCTGGGGAGAGGACACCGCCAGGCTGGGCAGAGGCAGTGACCACAGGTGCCAGGTGGTGAAGCTAAAAATACTGAGTGATGTGAACACGGAGGCTGCAGGAGCCTGGCGTGCTGCTGGGGTGGGGGCAGGGGGCCCTAGGGTGCTCTGCCCTCCCGGAGGAGGGCCAGTGGGCAGAGGGGTTGGCGGGTCACCTTGGGGGCTTACGCCTGCCCCCCACCCCCTCCTCTCAGCGCCAGGATTCCCTCCCAGTAGGGCTGCCACGTTAGCCGCCGTGGGGCATGCTGATTCCACTGCATCCTCTTCCCTGTGAGAAGAGAAATCATGTCTTCTCCTGGGGCCTCTGCAAAGTTAGATAGTTGAGCTTTCTCAGGCACTTTTAGGGACAGAGGCGATGAGGGGTGTAGGTGACCAGTTCAGTCATTTGTGGATTCAACAAACTTTCCCTGAGGCCTCCTGGGACTGGCTGCTGAGGCCACAGAGATGAGCAGGGCCCAG